CAGCCGCAGCAGCAGCAGCAGCAGCAGCAACACTTCACCCATGCCCCGCCCCAGTCGCCTTCTCCCGGAGCAGCAGCTTTTCCGCCTGGGCATCTGCACTCCCTGATGGCACACTTTGTGTCCGCTGACGAGATGAGTTCGCTTTCGGTTTCGAGTGATGTAGGCAGTGTCGCATGTGGTGATCTTGGTTTTGCTTTGTCTGCACAGAGTCGCGAGTACGGTCCTGGTAGGGAGGTATTTTGGTCTGATAGCGGTGCAAGTAACCATTTTGTGAGTAACAGCTCCAAGATGTACAACATCTCGCCTGTTCCCCCCGGCAAAGAATTTATCCGAGGAGGCAATGGTGCTCATTTGCGCGTGGAGTGTGTGGGTAGTGTCAATCTGGCATTCCACATGGAAGAGGGCCGCTCGGGAGAAGTGGATTTTTGTGCCCAATTGACAGACGTGTACGTGGTGCCAGGAATTTCGTTCAACTTGTTCTCCCTGCACCAAACGCAGAAAAAGCACAGGATAGTGTTGGATGAGAGGGGTGTGCACCTTTTCGGCGGTCGGCTTAGTTTCGCATATTCGGAGATCGGATGCTCTCTATCGGCCACCCGCTTGCCCCCATCGTACCGCGACGGTGATGTAATCCCCTTTACCGTTATCCCTCTCCCCGTTGTCCGCCAAGCGTCTCCGCCTGGCGTTGGCACTGGCCTTTTCGCGCAAAACCCCCCTCCCCCTTCTCAGATTTCAGGATCGGGTGCAGGGTACGGTCCGAGTTCGAGCTTCCCGTCCACCGGTCTTGCAGATGTTGTACCTTCGACTTCGAGCTTCCCGTCCATCTGTACTGCCGGTGTTGTACCTTCGACTTCGAGCTTCCCCCCCATCGGAACTGCCGGTGTTGTACCTTCGGCTTCGAGCACCCCGTCCACCACTTCCGGTGTAGTACATCAGAGTGATGTTTCCCCATCTATCGATGTTGATGTAGTGCCTACGTCAATCCGAGATTTTCAGCCTGCCCTAGCCGCAGCCATCGCCTCATCCGACGTCCTGTCCCCCTCAGTCGTGAACCCGAATGTGTCGCGAGAGATAGAGATCATGCCCCTTGAGTCCCAGGATAATTTGCCTTTGATGGACATGAGTTTGTCCTTGGATGTAGGCTTGATGAACGGACAAGACTCGGTCCCACCGGGTGACT